AAAAAACAGAAAAGTACAATCAGGAAGTCGCCGCTGCTGATACATGAAGTAGCTTTTGGTGATCTTTGTTCTCTATTCTTCCTCTCATTTTCAGCACTGGAACACTGTAGTTCACTTGACTAGAAGAGTCTTAAGGCCCGTTTCCACTACGGGACTGATTCTGAAGGATTGAGATTGACCTGAGACCAATAAGCCACATGGCTGGACTTGAAAACTGGTGTGCGCGTTTCCACCACACGCCTGTGCTGGGATCGAGACTGACGGGCCATCTGGCCGTACTCAAGGATGAGTATTTGAAGGTGAGTAACAAATTGAATAGATATGTGTTCTTCATATCTCATTACTTTCTGTAGGGTTTTACTCTTCGCACGATAGTAGGGGAAATAGAGGAAATAATTCTTCGACGAGTATAACATTTTTATTGTCATAAATGACAATTCATTGTGAAATTCATTTTGAAATATATATGAATGATTATATTTGAAATATATATATCACGGTAGAGAACTAGAAGAAGAACTTTCAAGAAGAGAAATTTTTCTGTCAAGAACTTGTAGCGACCATGTACATACGTTTCCTCATGTGAACCCCGCAACTCAATTTCTAGAAACGTTGCTAGCCTAAAGAATTCTAGCAGAGTTACCCATCAACTCTAACTCAACATTATTATCCGTGTTATTGCCTTAAGCATCATTATCAATTAGCAACTGCAGTTGATTTCCTGTTAAATACAAATTAGCTATATATTTATAATATTAGCACTGACCAAAGACATTGCAATATTGAGTAACTCTAGTAGTGATAATCATTTACAAATCTGTAATACAGCGCGTAACCTAGTCTCCAGACCTAGTAGCAATAAATGAGGAGAACTCCTACTGTGTTTCATTCCCCAATACGAAACACAATTGTAAAGGCCCGTTCACACTAGGGGCAAAAAACGAGAGTCTGTATTAACTATTAATTACTGTATTGTCAAGCGACTGAATGACTGTATTGTATTAATTACTGTATTAAGTGCCTCAAAGCGCATGCAGAGGCGCTTTGCAGCCTCTGCATGCGCTTCTTGACCGATTGACGAGCTAGCGATTGACAGGGGCCATGCCTCATGCAACACAAGCGCGGCGCTTAGTAGATAGCTATTAAAGAATTGGTATCACTTGTATGCTTAAATCGCAAATTAACTAAGAATTTAAATTGAATTAAAAATTTGAATCAAATTGAAAATCTAAATTAATTAATTAAAGAAATTCAATTCGTTCTATGGTTTCAATGTATTAATTTATGATTCTAGATTCTACGAACTGACTATGGAGCTGGTCTCCGAAACGTTTTCTATAAAGATATGAATTTTTGTGGACTATTCTTTTTTTTTAAATTCTCAGTTAGTAGATAGATGTCTGTGGTCTAGTAAGGTTGATTGTGTACGCTGGTCCGGCGCTCCAAATGTCGACTAAAACACCACTCTCGTTTGGAGTCACTCTCTAGTAGAGAGCCTAATTGATCTTTATAGAGAACACGAATGCCTATGAAGTGTTCGGTTAAAGGAGTACAAAAATCGAAATACAAATGATGTAAGTTAATTTTACATGACATGTTTAGTTTATGTGATTTTAGCAACTCCTGACAATTTATGCATTACCGTTTAGCGATTTCAAAGGATGATGTAATATCTGTACGAATATTGGAGCTTTTTATTTAACAATAGACTATATTTTTTATAAACTGTATCTTTTTGAATGTGCTACTTCTCTAATTATGATGCCTATGCTAAGTTCTCGTTTACAACTGGCATAGTGCGAAGAATGACGGACCGCAGCGTACCCGAGAACAATGGCCCACAGCTCTTTTAAATTCTTAGTTAGTAGATAGATGTCTGTGGTCTAGTAAGGTTGATTGTGTACGCTGGTCCGGCACTCCAAATGTCGACTAAGCACCACTCTCGTTTGAAGTCACTCTCTAGTAGAGAGCCTAATAATTATTGATCTTTATAGAGAACATGAATGTCTATGGGGTGTTCGGTCAAAGGAGTCCAAAAATCGAAATACAAATGATGTAAGTTATTTTTACATGACGTGCTTAGTTTATGTGATTTTAGGAGTACAAAAATCGAAATACAAATGATGTAAGTTATTTTTACATGACGTGCTTAGTTTATGTGATTTTAGCAACTCCTGACAATTTATGCATTACCGTTTAGCGATTTCAAAGGATGATGTAATATCGGTACGAATATTGGAGCGTTTTATTTAAGAATAGACTATATTTTTATAAACTGTATGTTTTTGAATGTGCTACTTCTCTAATTATGATGCCTATGCTGAGTTCTCGTTTACAAATGGCATAGTGCGCAGAATGACGGACCACAACACACCCGAGAACAATGGCCCACAGCTCAAATTCGGTGACATCCATCCTCATTGACGTCTAGGTGGCAACTGGTGTTCAAAGCGCGCGGTCTCAAACAACCGAGTACAAAAGTAGTGTAAACGGTTGTGCGCGGTGAGGCACTGCAGCAAACGACTCAAAGCGCATGTCGTTGCCTCTCGTGTAAACGGGCCTTTACAACTGGTGACCCCGAGCTCAAGAGCTCCACCGTCTACAACTGGTGACCCCGAGCTCAAGAGAGTCTCCACCGTCTACAACTGGTGACCCGAGCTCAAGAGAGTCTCTACCGTCTACAACCCCGACCCCGAGCTCTCGAGAGAGTTCACCCACTACTTGCTCCACTCCGCACGGGGGCAACGATCACTTCATCGCGTACGGAAGCTGCCTCCCACACGGAGTCCGCCAGTCATGCAAACTGGTGACCTGGAGCTCTCACCAAGAGTTCACCTCCCTCCACACTGGGGCAACGATCACTGCATCGCGTGAACGGAAACTGCCCCTTACACGGAGCCCGTCTACCCGTAATTCTACATACTGCGTCTGACTGCGGAGGTTGTAAAAATCTGTCAACGCTAAGGCTGTTTCATTTACGCGGCCTACCTCTACATCATGCCCGGGACTACCGCAGGATCTCCTAGCCTGTCACCGGTCAGACCACAGCTTCAACTGACTCGCATACATCCCTGTCAACCGACAGACCGCCTGTATCTGCAGTTGCACTGAAGCTACCACCATAGGCACGTGCAACATCACAGCCCAGCAACAAAACAATCCCGCAACTTCAGGTCTGCAGTGTCATTACCACCAAAGCTTCGGAACGACTGCACGAAAATGCACATCATTTTCCGACGTGTTCCGACTGCACATCATTTTTAACCAAACATGTAGAGAATTATATAAACAAGAAGTACAATCTCGATTGCATCAATAACAAATAAAAACAATTCCATTCCTGAACATACGTCAATGACCTTTCTATTGCAAATGCATTGTTATGCCAATACGACACACTTGAAACAAGCAAAGCTAAATTAATTATATGTGAAATGGCTCGAATGAACTTGTGAAAACTATACCAATCATATACTACGTAAATAAGTACAAACTGACTAGTAAATGACTTGATATAATGATTTGTTTTGCTCTTTGATTAGGGTGTTTTTAGATCGCTTAATCCTGTATTAGGTNGATGCACGATGCTGTTGCTTGCTTCTCGCCGCTGGTAGTGTTGCAGGGGAGGTCGATCTGGGATTGTGCCCAGGAACACGTCTAGTTGTCTCTTGAAGGTCTCCAGGGTGAACTCCCCCTCTCTTAGATCCCTTGGTAGGGCGTTCTTAATGTATGATTTTACTTTCCATTTTAAGAAGTGTATAATTTTGTAGAATTTCATAAAGTTTCGCTCGAGAATTAAAGAGTGAATGGCAACAGAACTCCTGATCACAACCTCATTAGACTACTTTCATTATGCATTATTATAACTAATTTTGCATGCTCTACAATTAAGATTATACTTTCTCAACAATCTCAAGGACTGCATTTTTTGTTACTGATCTCATTGTTTCTTCATTTGCTAATAAATTTTAAATATATCTTTTCTCCGACATCATGAATCAGAGCGTAAAGTGAGATCGTTGCCTGTGCAGGTGGACATTTTCCAGATGGCGGTACTGGAGCTGCTGGAGCGGCCGGGCTGTCCTCTGTTCCATGTGGAGCATTTCATTGAAGGTTCTTACGTGAAGTACAACAGCAACTCCGGCTACGTCTCATCGTCCAAGATGCGCATGACTCCTCATGCATTCTCGCATTTCACCTTTGAAAGGTCGGGCCCACCCAGAAGTTCCTAATTCTTTCTGTACAACTTTTTATTAGATGAAAATTTTTCAGCTCTAAGAATCGATTAGCTGTTTTTTTGGTGTCATCCCCCCCGTGCCATCTCGTCCTTGTCGTGGGGGGGGGGCTTGCGTGTCTCGATGAGACCCGAGGCTGTGCGGTCTCAGATGCAATCATGGCCGAGTGGCCCGAGTGGAGAGTCCAGACTAATAGAGATGGCAAAACGCTCTTCTGGTAACGGCCTGGTTCTCTTATGGATACGCGACCTTTCGCTGGATTGACGAACCCTGGCGGGGACCTAGACCCGACCCGCTAGCTTCAATAGTCATGCGTGGCAAGGGTTAGCTGCGAAACTCCTATGCAGGCGGGGGGCTGCTTAAACACCGCGCAGACGGAGTGGCACCCGTCTTGCAACGTTAGTCAAGCGCAAAACCTGCTGCGCCCACGACAACCAAAGCTACATCCGAGCGTACGAGTGTTCCCGTCAAGACTACGTGTGCTTGACGTGTGCTTAACACCAGGGATCCCTTGTTGGAGGCAGATACACGGGTGCCTGCTCAGCGCTTCGGACGAACCAAACAACCCGAACCAGGAAAATGAACTCTTTGGATGCGCCTCTTGTACTCGATACCCCAACAACAACGGAAACGACCCGGACCCTCACTACGGAATCAATCATGACTTCTCCTACCTCCAAAACGACAGAGCTGCCCTCCTCGACCCTTACGAGCCGGAGGACCGAGCAGGATGTCGGATATAAAGACCTTATAATGCAACCATATATGCCAAGCAGAGAGGAAGAAAATAACAGAAACCATGGACAGACTGTAAGAGCCAGACGAAGGAATAACCGTCCTCACTGGAGACCCAGTCTTTCGGATGAAAATCTAAATGAACCCCAACCTTCTGGACCTCCCCAAAAACAGTACAATAAATTCTATACGATATCTGCTAACAACGGCTGCCACCTGTCTAGCATAGATGTAATAGCTGCTAACCGAGAAATAGAAAATACGCTGAAAGGCAAACCAACGAAGATCAACGAAACCAGAAGTGGAACACTCCTGGTCGAAGTTACTAACTGCCAACAGAGTAGAACTATTACGACGATAAAGTCCCTGGCTGGCGTACCAGTGACTGTTGCCGCGCACGAAAGGCTAAATGAGAGCCGCGGCACCATCTGGTACCCCAATCGACCAAACTACCCAGACGAAGACCTACTGGCTGAGCTGTCCCAATACGGAGTAAAAGCAGTGTACCGTACAAAAAGGAGGGAGCATGGAGTATTAGTACCAACCCCGGTATATGTCCTAACTTTCGACGGCTGTCACCTCCCGGGGCATGTTGCGGTCGGCTGGACGCGGTGCCAAGTGCGGCAATACATTCCTAAGACGCGCAGGTGCTTCAATTGCCAAGTTTTTGGACATGGTGCTTCGTCCTGTCGCCAGCAGACCGGCACGTGCGTCAACTGTGCGCGAGAACAACACGACCTTCCGTGCACGTATCCCGCCAAGTGCTCCAACTGCAAACTACCACATCCTGCCAGCTCTAACACATGCCATTTCTACAAGATGGAAGAAGAAATAATTGCAACCCTACGAGACAAAAGATGAGCTATGGAGAGGCCAAGCGAGCGGTCATGAGCCGATACGTCACCCCTCGGATCTCCTTCCCCGAGGCTACCCGACTTCCAGCAGGCCCGGGAACAGAGCCCGGAACCCGGAACAACAACCCCAAACAACATGCACCCAGGATAAGTAGATCAGACGGATCAACCCAGACGCTTGCAGAAGATACAGAAAAACTACAACAACCAGCCGAAGCTTCTACAACTAAACAAGATAATACTTATTCTAATAAAACTTACACCCGCCCAAATGTGACAGCCAAACCACTACTGAAAGAAACATCAACAACCAATACCCAACGAAAGCGACAAAGCAGTACCTCCCCACCAACTAAAGCCCCCCAGGCCAAAACTACTAAAATACATCCCGTACTTCTGCACAGCGCTGGCGAGCACCGGCTGACAGAACCCTCAGAAATCGGATATAAAAAGGAAAAGATCAGAAGACTGGGAGATACAAGCGCTGCTTTTAGAGTTCGCTCCCTGGAACGCGTAACCAAAGTTCCCGAGTTAAGCAGCGACATACTTGGTAAATTCCCCATCCCACCGCACTTTCCTCTGGCCCCGCCTCCACCCCTAGGGTGGAGGTGCGCACGTGGAACATGAAGACTGGAGACCAAAAACCAACAGAAAGCAATCCCGCCCCCCAAGAGTAGCCACAAACCCCAAATCCCCCCAATCAGGAGGGGACCCACTAAAGGAGCACCGAAGCAGACATGACGCAGACGCTCATTCAATGGAATAGCCGGGGATACCGTCGCAACTATAGCGACCTCCGGGCAATCCTCCAGGAGCAGCATCCACTCTGTGTATGCATCCAGGAGACAATGCTCGGAAACCTTACTCCGACCCCCCCGCAAAACTACAACATAGAGACCTTCTCAGACTCCCCCAACCCCAGACCCGGAACCGGACTCCTGATCCTCGTCAGGCGTGACGTAGCGTTGCTCAGACTACCGATCACCTCCCAGCTACAAGCAATGGCCGTCCAAACAAACATAAATAATAAAATCCATACAATTTGCAATTTTTATATACCACCGGGACACAGACTGACCCTAGCGGATGCGGGACCTGCACGAGCAGCTGTCGCGACCCTTCCTAATCCTCGGAGACTTCAATGGCAAGCACACTGCAACTACATTATAGATCAAATAGGGAGGACTATTGAACACTTTATAACAAACTGCAACATCTGCCTCCTGAACACGGGCGAAACCACCCACCTGCATGTACAGACGGACACAACATCAGCCATCGATCTGAGCCAATGCACACCCGACATCGTCAACAACGCCCGTTGGTCGGTGATGAGTGACACGTATGGCAGCGACCACTTCCCTATACACATTGACTTTACGATCCACCAGCCCTTACCCACAGAGCCCAGATACATCATGAAAAGAGCCGACTGGAAGACCTTTAGAGCACTAACCCGCATGCCTGAACCAGAACTAGACTTACCAGTAGACGAAATGACAAGAGACTTCACAGACACCATCCGAATGGCAGCGAATGTAGCGATTCCCCGCTCCAAAGGTGGAGCTGTCCGTCACCGTGTCCCATGGTGGAACGATGACTGCGCTCGCGCAAACCTAGACAGGAAACGAACCTTACGCCGTTTTCAGCGCACTGGCAACATTGCCGATAAAATAGCATATAAAAGAGCAAGAGCAATCGCCCAATACACTAAAGATACAGCTCGGAAAGAATCCTGGAAACGATACGTCTCCTCATTGAACTCTGAAACCCCTATGTCCAAAATTTGGCAACGCATCCGGAAGATCGCTGGAAGACCGGGCCTCACGCGGCCCTGTCTGAGGATCAACGGCGCGCCGACGACGGACCCGCAGGTAGTGGCTACAGAACTGGCCCGATATTTCGCTGATATTAGCAGTGGACAACACTACCCTCGCCCGTTCCTCTATCTCAAACACCAACAAGAACAGCAACATCTTGACTTTAGAACGGACCACCAATACTCTTACAACGATCCAATCACCTACCTGGAAATCTTCAACGCACTGCAACAATCCACAAGGAATACCAGCCCAGGACCGGATGGCATCCACAAAAAGGTGTTAAAGAAGATGCACCCTACAGCAATCACAGCCCTGCTTGCAATATACAACAAAATCTGGACCTCGCACTCATACCTAACACAATGGCGAACAGCCACTGTCCTGGCCTTCCTCAAGCCTGGTAAACCCCCGTCTGAAACATCCAGCTACCGTCCAATCGCCCTGACTAGCTGTGTGGGTAAAATCATGGAGAAAATAGTCAATAACAGATTAATACAGCACTTGGAATCTCAACAGTTAATCTCTCCCGTGCAATACGGTTTTCGACCTCTCAGAGGCACCACCGAGGCACTCATCAGGCTGCAAAACCACATTGTCAACAACAATACCGAAGGAAAACACACAATATGCGTTTTCTTTGATATGCAAAAAGCATACGACACCACATGGCGACACGGAATCATGCAATTTATCGACAGGAACGGAATCAGGGGCAATATGGCACAGTTCATCCAAGAATTCTTACGACGGCGCTCCTGCAGAGTGAAGGAGGACACATCTCTGTCACCCCTGCAGCCGCAGACGCAGGGGGTACCGCAGGGTAGCGTGATAAGTTGCACACTTTTCTTAATGGCAATTAATGATATCACCACCGCCTTACCTCCGAACGTACAATCATCACTCTACGTTGATGACTTCATGATCTACGCATCATCCAGATACCTACCGACCCTCACGCGCAAAATACAGATTGCCATTAACCGCGTTAACCAATGGACAACAACTCATGGGTTCTCCTTTTCCAACGAAAAAACGACGGCTATACACTTCAAACGTGCACGCTCCATCGAACAGCCTCCTCAACTATCCCTTCAAGGCAGACCGATTATCATATCCCAAACTGCTAAATTCCTCGGGATGACCTTCGATTGCAGGCTCTTGTGGAAGCCCCACGTACAGGCTCTGAAAGGCGGATGCCTAAAGAGAATGAACCTGCTGAGACACGTGGCCGGCCTGACATGGGGAGCCGACAGACTAACCCTGTTACGCCTCTACAGAGCCACAATCAGATCTAAGTTAGACTACGGCTGCATCATATACCAATACGCTAATAAAGCAACACTATCTGCACTGGACTCCGTCCATCATTCAGCTATACGAATATGCACCGGAGCCTTTAGAACATCACCTGTCCTCAGTTTACATGCAGAGAGCGGTGAACCTCCACTCTACCTTCACCGAGTACAGCTCACTCTACAGATGATAGCCCGCCTCAAGCAACTACCTCAATCCCCAACATGGCGCAGCGTTATAACTGAAGATCAACCAAACAATTTTCCATACAATATCCCGTCATCCGAAGACTATGAAACACTGCTTGCAACAACGCAGGCTCATGTAATAGAGGTCATACCAGTCATATTTGAGGATACCCCTACATGGCGCATCCCAATCAACACATTCTGCCCGGACCAAAACTACCCACTGAAGCAAAGCTCTCACCCAACCGAGATGAGAAACCTCTTTCTCAACAAAGCATGCAAACTCTACGCATATTTACACCGACGGCTCTAAGACGAACGGCGCAGTGGGATGTGCAGCTGCGGCCGGCGCAGCGGTGGTGTCAAGGAGACTCAGTTCAAGCTCGTCAATCTTCGCCGCTGAGCTCGTCGGTGTCAGCTGTGCCCTTAGCCTCATAGACCAACTGCCCGGAGACGACTTTACAATATTTGTAGACTCCAAAAGTATGGTGCAAGCTTTGAGAGCTTATAATAGCAGGCACCCCATCGTCCGGGAGATCCTAACCGGGCTGCTGCGCCTGGCGGGGACGGGGAGAGCGGTGAGCGTCTGCTGGGTGCCCGGACACGTGGGGGTGCGAGGCAACGAGAGGGCGGATGAGGCGGCGGTAAACGCCGCCTCTTCGGACCAGGCGATCCATAGCGATCAAGTCCCTAGCCGGGACCACTACCCTATCATCAAGGCAAGCATCCGCCATATCTGACAGGAACAGTGGCTGAACGTGGGAGAGAATAAACTAAGAGCAATTAAGGATTGTGTACGAGCGTGGAGTTCATCATACCAGAAATCCCGGATGATGGAGGTAGCGCTGTGCAGACTAAGGATCGGCCACACGCGCCTCACTCACAGGTACCTGATCGAACGCCGCCCAATGCCGTATTGCAATGATTGTTTGGTACCCCTGACGGTCTTGCATGTTATGGCGGAATGCCCGAGCCACAGTGATACCCGGCAAAACTACTACCCCAACACCACTGCTCTCAGCCCAAATGAAATGCTGTCTAGGATGCTGAGGGAAGTTCCCCGAAGCACCTTTATAACTGATAACCTTAGACAATTTAGACAATACCTAATCGAGTGTAATCTGCTGCCAGATATCTAGCACGGCACCTTGACAGAGGTCAGAAAAGACCCACACCTCCGACAAGACGTCATATTCGTGTCATCATATTACTGGTTGAGATGAAATAGCAGAAGACGGATAGAACTTGCGCCTTGGAAATAGAGAAGCATACACCCTAGACCAGATGGATCAGGCTACGAACCTGAAACTAATGAAGAAGCCTGCCGACCCTGAAAAACGAATATTGGACCTTCGGCGCGAAATAGACGACACTGATCTGAAGCGCTAGAAACCTCTCCCTACTACTACTACTTACGGATTTTTTTCAACGTTCATCGATGGATCTAATTTCTCCATCTCCTTACTGATTTTTTCTAATTCTTGAATTCTCAAGACTCTATCTTTGTAAAGAGAACTTTTTACTTGCCATAGGCAAGTTGCCTCTCTATATAACTCGATAAGCATTTCAGTAACATCTCTGCTCCACTCTGCGTCGTGTGACATGGTCATACAAAAAGCAAAGAGGCAGGCAATGGTGCGTCTACAAGAGCGTCAGCTCAACACACAACCTACTGGAACGGCAGTCGCAGCGACACTGCTCTTTGCCCGTCACGCAAGTCCAGTGAAATATTGAACAGGGCTTGACTCCCCGTCACTCAAGTCTCGATGGTCCGGACTGCCTCAGTCCGGACTGAAAAAGCCAGTTTTTCAATCGTCAGTCTCGCAGAGTCTCATAGTGGAAACGGGCCTTAAGACTGACTGGCAGTCGACTCACCAAACTTATATACGCGGTGACCCGCGAATAGTGACATAACAGAAGGTGACGTAAGGGTCACTAATGACATCACGACCTGACAGTTCTCGTGCCGAGTACTTCTCGTGTTGTGGGGGCTTATAACCTCTGCACTCGTGTAAATATGACAGCGTCCTGGTACAGCTTCTGTGGTACCGTTCTTGCCTCTTGTGTCGTGGAAGTTAACACCTTCCACGCTCGAGAGTAATCGGAATTTTGCTGTGCATTAGGGCTAGAACCCCTAGTCTCTGCGGCAGGTTATTAACATCTCGGTCCGTCTAGTTCCCGTACCATTTGCTATCCATTTTGTTATTCTCACTGTGTATTAGGGCTCATGCTGTATGGTTTCTCGGCTGTTTGTACTCCTGAAGTGTCAAGCCTTTTTCCGTGATCTTTTGGACTAAAACGAATGATAAGTCTACTTTCAAGTCAGATTTACCGTCGTTCGTCTTGCATTTCGAACTAGCGTACGAAAAGAAGGCTTTCGGATTCTTTTTTGCATTTTTAGCAATATTTTTTTCAACGTTTTTCACTGCAGTGCGACAGACTTTTTTAGCTTGATTTCGAGCTCTTGCATACAGGTTATAATCAGAATCGCTGCGAGTTCGTAAATAACGCAAGTAGGCTTCTTTCTTGGTCTTTAGCTGAACTTTAACTGTACTGTTCATCCACTGGTACTTTTTGACTCCTCCAAGCGTAATCCTAGGTACACAGGTATCAACTGCTGACATAACCGTGTATTTGAAAAAATGACCAGTGGATCATATAACACACAGTGGAAATAATTGCACGTGTAGGGTAACATGGGGCAGCGAGCCCACTGCGGGTCATGGGCCCATAGCCGGTTTCTCGCAAAGTATGGCAGATATTGGCCCGTGTTCTCTACCGCCGGTCGACATTTTCACGGGATGAAGTGTACGGATTTACGTTTTGCTAAGTGTTTGCATTATTAAGTTATTTGTGAATAACTGTTTTAGTCCAGATAAAATTTTTTTTGCTGCTAAATAAAAATTTTTTCGATTACTTTAGATGAAGCTTTTGAAATTACTGTGAATTATATTTTGAAAGTAATATTTATAGGGATAATTTTGAGATAAAGTTTAGACTATTAGCTTTTAAAATGAAATGTTGACACGATATAAATTGAAATGATACCTAGTGGGGCAACGGGCCCATGCGTGTCACGGGGCAAAGCGCCCATGGTGAAGTCTTGTGTTATACATCATTAGATTTGTCTCAATGACTTTTTCAAACTATGACTAGCTTTTTGAATTACAAATTACACTTCATATTGCATGATTTATTGATTTGCCGCCTCAAGGCAGCAGGTTTAGTTTCTAAATATGCGAATTTATGACCCCTTATCGAGTTATTGACTCTTGCCTTGCCAAAAGTTGATTTCAGTCAACACCAATGAGCCAAAAGTTGATTTTGGCTGGAGGTTTTTTGGTGTTGGCTGAAATCACGATTAGGTACGAATTCTCTGCACATAATATCTGGATTATGGACGAAATTGGAACGAAGTTTTTTTTTCTGATCAACTAAATATATTTTTTCTAGTCAAGGATACATTTTTTCATGTTTAGGACGAATTTTTTATCGCAAAGATGTATTTTTCAAGTCAAGGATATATATTTTTATGGCAATGAAATATTTTTCTTCACGTCAGTGATAGATTTTTTAAGCCAAGAGTATATTTTTTTCAAGTTAAGTATATGATTTTTTGAGTTGTTAATAAATGAGTGAATGTCATATTTTTTATTACATTTTCTTATTTTTAACTGTAAAGTGTTGTTTTCTCATTTTTTAAACGATAAATATGCATTGATGGTAAAGGGACCAAGTGTGGGCGCCTTGCCCCAAGCCCATGGGCCCGTTACCCCAGGGGTGGGGCAATAGGCCCATTTTGACACGTTTTACAAAATAGTGTTTCATTAAAAATTGAATAAACATATAGGCGTCTAATTCACATCATACATTCCTCATTAGTTGTTCCTTTAAATAAAACAAAGAATCACCTCGTATCTATTAGGACTTCATCCAAAATTTAGTTTAAAAAGAGGGGGGGCGCGCAGCCCCCCCCCCCTATATGTTGCCCTATTATTATAATAATTACAATATACGTATTGTTTTTTTCCATAACTATCCATAATAGCATTGAAATTTTTGTAGTTAAGTTTGATTGTAATGAGGACATCGTCAGTGCAGGGAATCAAGGCACGTAAATAACTTCTCTATTAAAAATTTTATTAAATAACAAGAAACTATAGTAAAAAATGCTAAATTCTTTCATTGATACCGGTATGGTTCTTCAAATTGGGAAGAGGGCAGTTATTGTCATCAAAATTTGTACAAACAATTTATGCTAAATTTATGTACTTAGAAGCAATATTGCAAAAATAGTGCGAAGGTTTCGATATTTTTAGGATCAATGATTTTTAGGAAAAACAAAGGGAAACTTGTAAAGTGGATGTTCGCTCTCCTTTGCACGAGTAATCAATGTTTTACTCTCACCAATACTAGACATTGCCTAATTTTCACAACTAGCGGGGTTCAAGCCCGTGACGAACTGTCGCGATCAGGTAGGTACCGGAGTTTCATAACCTACCTGACTTTTAGTGAAGAAGGTTACATAGGAATTACCTTCTCAGATGCACCTCACACTTCAATGCTTAATAACTTTTTATGTTTGATGTTATCGAGGACAAGTCTTAAATCAAAGTTATTCGTCTTAAAGAGCTCTTTCAAATGGTATATAAACATTTGCCGAAAGTTGATGGGAAAGGACCTACCTAAGCCTACCTGATAGCTTTCCCTTTACCGAGTAGGGAAATTCCCTTCTGGGTTTTGGACGTCCCAAGGCAGGTTTTGAACCTCGGGTTACCTCCAGAAGGGAAATTCCTCGGACCTTTACCTGACAGCTTTTGAAACTCTAAGGAACCTGTCCTTGAAAGGTAATGAACCTCTGTTCCCTTCTGAACGAACCTCGCGGTCCGGGTGCATATGAGAAGGTAAAGTATTGGATTCTAGATTCAAGTTTTTTAAAACACTAGTAGGCATAGTTTAATCAAGCTCAAACTTCAGTATGTTGGTAAACTTGACATGGCGATCATTTTAAGAGCAGAATTGGAGTTAGGTTAGTTGTTTGTATTTTCACTATTTTTCAATTCTGAGTAAAAGTAAGCGCTCAGGTTCGCCATGCATAGCTTGCTCAGGCTCCCTGTCTGGAAGTCTACGGACGTGTCACAGCGCATTTCAGCGACCATCCATGCTTGGAAGTCTACGTTCTCTCACAGCGCATGTCAGAGACCACCAATGCCCGGAATCCTCGCAGGTTAGGTCCAGGTCAGGTCTAGTTCATCTACTTTTCACTTAAGATCCGAAAATAGCGTGGACACATCATGGGGAACATGAATTTCGTCATGAAATTCGATTTTGTACGTGTCAATGTGAAGCCCGATTTAGGGTGATATTGGGCATGAATCCCCCTTGAAATGGTTTAATTTGAAGCATTTTGATGTATTTTAATGTTAAACTGAAATTGGGTTGATATTCAGCAAAAATATTTTGAGGTTTTCAAACTTGGTCCAAAAAATGAGGTAAAAATATATACGAGTTTACTAGACCCTCAGCTTTGGTAGAAAAGTGTGCTGAAACTGTAATTATTGTTGCACTTTGACAGGATAGGTATCAAAATGACCGGAATAACGGGGGCAATAACATATTAACGTTTGAAATCAATCGGCTTAAAAGCAAAGGAGTTATTAACCAAAGTTCATGTCTTCCCTTCAAATGCACTTCGTGGTTTTTGTTACCTTCTCGGTACCCTACGAGGTGCAAAACCTGT